TAATTAACTTGTTGACTGGCCAGAGAGTGCTTGAAGCACTATAGGACTGTATATAAGCAGCACACTTTGCTCTTTTTTCCCCTCATGAGATGGCCAAAGTATTGGAGCCTCAGCTTCAGGATCTGTCCTTCCAGTGAGTACCCAGGGTTGATTTCCTTCAGAATGGATAGGTTTGTTCTCCTTGTAGTCAACGGGACTCTTAAGAGTCTTAGTCCTGCTAGCGTAGACCAAATGGAAAGGTTTTTCAGAATACTTAAGTAAAAATTAATATATGGGATTCCTTAAGGAACAACACAGATTTCTCTGGACAGAATGTCCTTGTTTATTGTAAATTTTCATTCGAGAAGCTGATAGAAGAGGCAGCGAGGGCTTGGCTATTTATTAATGTCAATGAAGTTGGCCTTGTGAAATCCCACTGTCTTCTAAGCATTTTCTTCAAAGTTGTCGACGAGGCAATTTAGATAGCGAGGCCGTATACACTGACCCAGGAAAAGGGGTGTAAATCCTGGCTTTTCTTGTCCTCATGCATGACAGCAAGGAATTTTAAAATTATTCTCCTTGTCCCTCAAGAAGCTGAAATATTTATGGGCACTCCTGAGAAAAGAAAAAGAACAAGAATGAGAATAAATTTCTGGTTAAATTAAGCAAGACTGAGCAAATTGCACAAATAATGCTTTAATGTTAATAGCACCGATTGTGCTAAATGAGTGTGATTGTCGCTTCTTTTTCGTTTGTGTCAGAAGCAGTCCAGTGTTGTGTCTAGAGAGGAAGAATCAGTCCACAGGGGTGGTTTCATTGCCCAAGGGGTGCTCAAACGTGTTCACCGCTTTCACATTCTCCAGGGAGACTTCTTCCCTGCCCTCTGATCATTGCTTTGTTGCAGATACTTTTTAAGGATTGAAAGTATTGCAGGTATAGTTTACATTTTTAAAAATAATCAACCAGCTGCTCTCTGCTTACTCTGTGTCTGCTTTGCTTTGAGAGGCAATTTGCACCAATTATGGAAACCTTAATGAAAAAAAATAAAAGTATTCCATGGTTTGCTTTGTTGTGCATGTGGAAAAATGTGCAGGGCTTGGCAATTTCTCCTGAAGGTTCCTCATCAAACTGAAAGAACCGACCTGTACAAGAATGAATGATTTAAAGAGAAGTCTGTAAATGACTATCTAGTACTAAATGTTGTTGATCTCTCAGGCTTGCTTATGAACAGTTGTACACTGGATGTTTGAGGAATTCAGTCTTTGCAAAATCCAATAGGAAGTAGCTCTCTCTCTCTCTCTCTCTCTCTCTCTCTCTCTCTCTCTCTCTCTCTCTCTCTCTATCTCTATCTATCTATCTATCTATCTATCTATCTATCTATCTATCTATCTATCTATCTAATACATGTTTCTCATTGAAGACGGACATATAGGTGAGGAGACAGATAATCTGACTCATGACCACAGGAAGAGGGCCAGGATTGTTCCCCGCTTCCCATTTCATGTGTGGGACCTTCTTCACACTTAAAATAGGTGAAGGGGGCCAAAGAAGACCTACATATAAAGTGTGCTGCATGTAAGTTCTCTGGAGCAGTTCTGTGTAGAACTTAAACAGGAGGCACATTAAGCTGAAAATTCTGCAGTAATCTGTCAAAGGTATGAGTGCTACGGGCATAGACAGCTCCCAGCAAGTTATGTGATAACAGAGATAAGATAGATGCCACTCTTAAATGTAAGAACAGGAACCTTTTTTGGGTGTGTGTGTGTTCTGTTTCTCCTGGAAATGCAAAGCAACTTTGGTGGGGAAAAAAAGCAGAGCTTTTTTTTAATGTTATGAAGAACTGGGCAGGAAATGACAGAGCTGTTCAAGAAATATAGCTTGTTTCCACAAACGTCTTCCTTAAAGTGGGAAAGCTGGTGTCTTATTTATTCCTGCAAGACAGCAAAAACAAAAATGTACTCCCCAAAAGGCTAGGGGTGCAGAGGGCCAACAAAGGTGTTGGAAGCCGAAACTCCTGTATAATTGTCTCCTATGCCGCTAGAGGGCACAATGGGATTTTAAAAGCCAGTTTGGGTTGTGGGTGAGGAGGGTTGGGGCCAGAGGTGCAAGGGGCACATTTGAGTTCCTAGATCCCAATTGCACTGCTGGCTGCCCTTGCCCACCTCTTCTGCTAGTTATTCCATGCATTGAACAAAGTGCTCCTCTAGATAACATCGAAGAGTCAAATGCTTTGATTCTGTGATCCTACATGAATGTAAAGGTTCCAGGGAATCTCCTGGACTTTAACACTCACAAGTCATTTATAAAAGCTTTGATATAGGTTTTTTTTCCAGGTGCAAATCCATGGACGTTTTGAATATACAAAGTCCTGAATCTCGAGGTTCACGGCTGGATTGTCTTTCTGCCTCCAGCAACTCACTCAATCTTCCAGACATGTGTACCTCTTGAGATTCCTTTCATTTAATCTATGTTCCTTGCAGGCAGGGAAAAAAAATCTTCAAGTATAAGCCCCTAATTGAATTATTAGTGGTCCATTAGAAACAGGACGCACAGTAGAAACATCCTTTGGAATATTGTGTTTGGCAACCATACCTCATGCTTTGTGTGAGAAGCTTGTATACATTTGTAATGAATGTTGGCATCAGTATGAAAGGGCATGGCATGAAGGGTTTCATCTCCCTACACAGACACAATTTGGACAGTGAGCAAAAGAATTGTACCAAAAAAAGGAGCAATGAAAGAGAAGACTTCATCAGAAAATGGATGAATATATAAGTCCATATTGTAATTCCTAAATCCCTTTGTATTGCTGACAGAAAGCTGCTAGGAAAGACTTCAGTGGGGAAACACCTTTGTACTACAACAGATCAAACCCTGACAAATCAAAGAACACATAGATAAGAATACAGTAGAAGCCAAGGCCACAGCCAAAATGAACAGGTAGGACTCAGTGTCCCCACTAAGTCCTTGCTAGACCACCATCTACAAGGGGTTGGAACTGAAATGCAAACATTGATAACTTCAGTGACTTGTCCTTTGGCGTCATCTCCAGAACCCAAAATTTAGCAAGCCAAGAAGGCATTGAATCTTAACAATAACACCATTTCAAATATGACACAGAATAGACACATAAGATACAAGCTGCATAAACGCAGACTTACAGTGCGCTTTAGGACACAGATGATATCCTCTGTTTGGACCATTGGAACATTAAAACCATGATAAAAATCTTGATTGATCACAGTAATTGGGACCAGTCTAAAGTATTTTGCCACCTGAAGTGGAGTAGCAAATGGTGTCCAAGTGGAAGCGCAGGGTACTTTATTTGGGCACCAGAGGCAGAAAATGCTCAAGTATCTGTAATTTTATCTGCAATATAAATGTAACAATAAATTAAATAAGTGACCATTTGTCCTTTTATGAGGTCCAAATGTCTGAGACAAGTGTCTAGCATGCCTTAGCCTCAATCTACCTAATGCAAGGGTGGATGCTCATCCCTAGTCACCTTCTTCCGTGATCTTCAGGCTCCCCCCCCCATTTTTTTCTTTTTT